GCCTTCTACTCTGGGTTCCAGCCCAGGACCCTGTGGATTGCAGCTGTCTATAGTGCCTCCTGTAACAGCTGCATGACAGCTACAACTCCCTGGGCTACTTCCCCATGACCTCCTCCAAACACCTTCCTTATTCTCACCACAGGACCTTCCTCCTGGTGTCTGATAACGCTTGTACTCCTCAGTCCTCCAGCAGCTCACTCTCACCCTCTCACTCTCAGCTTCTTGCGCCTCTTGCTGCCAGCTCCTCACACTCATGCACAAACTGAAGTGAGCTCCTTTTTTAAACCCAGGTGCCCTGATTAGTCTGCCTTAATTGATTCTAGTAGCTTCTTGATTGGCTGCAGGTGTTCTGATCAGCCTGTCTGCCTTAATTGTTTCCCAAAAGTTCCTGATTGTTCTGGAACCTTGCCTGTTACCTTACCCAGGGAAGAGGGACCTACTTAATCTGGGGCTAATACATCTGCCTTCTATCACTCTCCTGTAATCCGTCGCCCGACAAAGTCACGGGACCTCCTGGTCAACCTCCTCCTGGCCCTAGCGAGACTGGCCATCTTTAAAACCAGAGTGAGGAGGTTGGCCGATGGAGTCTCCTGTGACTGTGGGGCCTATTTCCAGTCCTCCGTTCGTTCACGTATACAGGCAGTTTCTCTGGGCGGTGTCCACTGGCTCCCTTGACGCCTTCGAGGAGCAGTGGGCACTGTCCGGGGTTCTCTGCTTGGTGTCCCAGTCTGGTTCACTTCGTTTGACCCTTTGACCTCACTCCTGTCCCTGTTCTTTTATTAGTTGTCCCCCGTAATTTTTTGGTCTCCAGGTCCTGTGGACCTCCCCCTCCCCCCCCCCCCTTAAGCTGGGGGGAGATCCTTTAGCAGTGGGTGGGCGAAGCCATTCACAGTCTTTGTTTAATCCTGAGCTGATGGTGTCAAATTTGCAGATGAACTGAAGCTCAGCAGTTTCTCTTTGAAGTCTGGTCCTGTAAGTTTTTTTTTTTTTGTTCTGTCGAGGAGTGGTCGTTACCTTTTAAACTTAC